GGATGTAAGGTGAAATCGCAGGGTTGTTTTGATTTGCATTTTCCTGATGACTAAGGACGTTGAACATTTCTTTAAGTGTTTCTCTGCCATTCGATATTCCTCTATTGACAATTCTCTGTTTAGCTCAGTACCCCATTTTTTAATTGGATTACTTGATTTGTTGCTGTTTAACTTCTTGAGTTCTTTATGTATACTGGATATTAGTCTTCTGTCAGATAAAGGGTTGGTGAAGATTCTTTCCCAATCTGTAGGCAGTCGTTTTGTTTTGATGACAGTGTCCTTTGCTTTACAGAAGCTTTTCAGTTTCATGAGGTCCCATTTATTGATTGTTGCTCATAGAGCTTGTACTGTTGGTGTTCTGTTCAGGAAGTTGTCTCCTGTGCCAATGAGTTCAAGGCTCTTCCCCACTTTTTCTTCTAACCGATTTAATGTGTCTGGTTTTATGTTGAGGTCTTTGATCCACTTCGACTTTAGTTTTGTGCAGGGTGATAAGTATGGATCTATTTGCATTTTTCTACATGTAGACATCCAGTTGGACCAGCACCATTTGTTGAAGATGCTATCTTTTTTCCCATTTTATGGTTTTGGCATCTTTGTCAAAGATCAGGTGTCCATAAGTGTGTGGGTTTATTTCTGGGTCTTCTGTTCGGTTCCATTGATCCACCATTCTGTTTCTATGCCAGTACCATGCAGTTTTTATTACTGTTGCTCTATAGTACAGCTTGAGATCAAGGATGGAGATACCTCCAGAAGATCTTTTATTGTAGAGGATTGTTCTAGCTATTCTGGGTTTCTTGTTATTCCATATGAAGTTGAGAATTTTTCTTTCAAGGTCTGTAAAGAATTGTGTTGGTAATTTGATGGGGATTGCATTGAATCTGTAGATTGCTTTTGGTAAGATGGCCATTTTTACTGTTAATCCTGCCAAGCCATGAGCATGGGAGATCTTTCCATGTTCTGATATCTTCTTCTAATTCTTTCTTCAGAGACTTGAATTTTTTTTCATACAAGTCTTTGACTTGCTTGGTTAGGGTCACACCAAGGTACTTGTATGTCTTATGTGGCTGTTGTGAAGGGTGTTGTTTCCCTAATTTCTTTCTCAGCCTTTTGTCTTTTGTATACAGGAGGGCTACTGATTTTTTTGAGTTAATTTTGTATCCAGCCACTCTGCTGAAGGTGTTTATCAGCTGTAGCAGTTCCCTGGTAGAGTTTTTGGGGACACTCAGGTATACTGTCATATCATCTGCAAATAGTGATACTTTGACTTCTTCCTTTCTGATTTGTATCTCCTTGATCTCCTTCAATTGATCTTGATCTTGAGATCCTTGATCTCCTTGATCTTACTGCTCTAGCAAGGACTTCCAGAACTATGTTGAAGAGATATGGAGAGAGTGGGCAGCCTTGCCTTGTCCCTGATTTCAGTGGGATTGCTTTAAGTCAACTGCCTTCTTTACCCAGTTCTTTTTGTTTCTTATAACACCTTCCTCTTGTGGTGTTACAGCCACCCCAGGCCCCAAACTCTTGACTTAAAAAAAAGCTTCCTAAAAATGAGTGCTGGGGAGTTGGCCCAGGAGATGGCTCAATTAGCTTGTTGTGTAACCACAACTGCCTGAGTTTAGACCCAGAACCAACAGATGAGCTGGTGTGATGGTGCACACCTGTAACCAGTGCTGGAGGTGGGTTGCAAAGGTAGCTGGGTGCCAGGGGCACACTGGCCAGCGAGTTTTTGAGCAAGGGTTGCCTGTCAGAGCTGTCCCGTGCTGGGCTGAAATGCCTGAACCTTTTAACCTTCAAATATGTGGGCCCTCCTGGGAAAGGCATGACCTGTGCTAGTGTAGTCCCTGAAAGACAAACTAATGACCGTGTTCACTGCCGTAGCTGGCAGCAAGTCTTTCCTTGAATAGGGATTATAGTTAGTATGCCTTCTTGTCTTTCTTAAGAACGAGAAAATATTTCCTGGATGTCATTTACAGACTTGTCTCATGTCTAAGTATTAGGTTACACGCTATGACAAAGATTAGTAATTATCCTTTATAGCCATTGTCGACTTTTCTAGGAAAGAGAATCCTGGGTTTTGGGTCATCTGTTACCACATCTTGGATAGTAGCCGTCTTGTGTGTGTAGATAAAGATATATGCTGTACCATTGGCTAATGGGTATGTGTAGAAATTTCGTGTTTGACTTAGGAGAGGGTGTGTTCTTTGTTTTCTTTCCCTCCTGTACTGGCTAGAATTGGTCTGTTTAATCTTAGGAGCCTGAGGAATGATTGTGACAGAAGGTTAAAAAACATCACGCTGCTGACAGTTTATGAAGTTGCCTTACACATTTTGGGGTGTGCATTTTTGGGTTTCATGTTTTAGGTCAGCCATTACTTGTTAGATATGTTTTTCTTTTTTTTTTTTAAGGCTTTTTTTAAAAATGTTTTATTAATTACATATACAGTGTTCTGCCTGCACGCCAGAAGACGGCACCAGATCTCATTATAGATGGTTGTGAGCCACCATGTGGTTGCTGGGAATTGAACTCATGACCTTTGGAAGAACAGCCAGTACTCTTAACCTCTGAGCCATCTCTCCAGCCCAGATATGTTTTTCTAAGTATATTAGAACTTAACTTTAACTTAACCTTAACTCTGTTTCTAGTCATTAGCAAGCTCCACAGGGAAACAGGGTTGTTTGGACAAACGTTTGTGGGGTGGTAGATGTTGACTGGTACACAGATACCTGAATCAGGCGAGTGCAGTGGAAGAGAAAGAAAGAAAGTTGAGGGAATTGGGAGGTCAGGTTTTGTCGTGGTCTTAACTGGTGGGCTGGAAATGTGTGGATGCTGATTAGTGAAGAAGTGGTCTGGTGTATTGCTTATCTCTGTGGGGGGAATTCTCACTGGAAAGGAGGAACTGGACTACGGGATAGAAAGAGACAGTGGTTGGGTAGGGTAGAACGCATAAATTTTACATTTTGTTGGTAGTAGGGGCCAGAGGAATGGTGGTTAAAGTGGGGCAAAGGAAAAGATTGTTAATGGTGAGATTAAGAAATGAGAGGCTGCTAGGCAGGGTGTCACCAATACGAAGTCTCAGCATTAGGGAGGTGGAAGCAGGAGTTTGTAACTGGGTTGTTTTTTTTTTTTTTTTTTTTTTTTTAACTACTTTTTTCTTTCATTCCTCGCTTCTCCACCCTTATTAGCCCTCTAACACTTGATAGGATAGAAAAAGACGGGAAAGGAGGCAAAGTATTGTTAGATTGCTTCCTGCTGATTAGGGGTGTTAAGTTCCTTGGGGGCAAATTTGATCTTTGCTGTCAGGCTATTTAATTTCTTCTTCTCATTTCTTTGTGCATGACTACTTGACAAACAACAGCCAACAACAACCAGCCAACAACAGCAACACTGCCCAGCATTTCTGTATCCTCTGAAAAGTTCCCAGAATTCTAATGGTCACACACTTGCAGAAACTAATCTGCAGCTGGTGAATATCACGCCTCTACTTGAGCATGAGGCAAACCATAGTCAGCTGCTGTGAAGCAGCCTCAAAAACAAATTCCCACAAACAAGGGAAACTGGGTTTTAGATAGATCCTCTTAGATGTTAATGTAAATAACTGGAAGACCGTGGATGATCTGCTGATATCCTCACCGTCTGAGGAAGGAGAACAGCAGTGTTGGCAGCTACTCTGAAAGTAAGGGTGAGGGCACAGCAAATGGATGTATGCATTTTAGAGAGCCTGACAGCTGATGCAAGAGCAGACAATAATCTAGGGTGGAAATGAGGGAATAAATAGCACCTTTATTGTATATTATTTTCTGTGTATCCAAAGGTACTTGACACAAAACAGAAAAAAGTAAGTTGAGAAAATATATCTTAAGAAATTACACCCATGGAAAGATACTCTTTCTATAAAAGAGCTGTTAAATGTTAATCTGAAAAAGAAAGTTAGCAAATTGAGCTTTGGCTAATGGATATAGCAAAATGTCATCTTATTCTGTTTTTTTTATGTATATGGATGTTTTGCTTGCATGTATATGCTTGCACCATGTGTGTGTCTGTCGAAGTCAGAAGAAGATATCAGATCTTCTGGAATGGAGTTACAGATGGCTGTGAGCTGCCATGTGGGTGCTGAGAATTGAACCCAGGTCCTGTGGAAGAGCACTCAGTTCTCTTGACCACCAAGCCATCTCTAAAGTTTCTTAATGTAGAATTTTTATTTACAAAGGAGAAAATTTGTGATAAAAACATGAGCAGATTGCCAAGCATCAGAATTAGTGGTGTCAGATATTAATGAGATACCAGATATGCCTAAGACATGAACACGTTTTAAAAGTATGAAAATCCAGACGCTCTGTCAGGTTAGAAATATAGGTTCCGATGCACACTTCTATGGCCAGGTGGTAAGTGGGCAGTCACCTCAGGTGTGGTGAGTCTGGATGGGTCTTTTGGTGGTGTGGTCATACTGCTGTCTCCTGTGTTGCTGTTTTATCTGTACTTTGCTTGTAACTGTGGTTATGTAGCTTTAGCTCTTCAATTAAGAGTTTAAAAGCTTTATCAAATATTTGTGGCTTTTAAATCATTCATTTGTTCGTTCGTTCGTCCAATCATTCCTTTGAGATATAGTCTTACCCTATAGTCTAGGCTGCCCTGGAACTGTCTAGGTAGCTCAGGCTGGTGGTCTTCTTGCCATAGCCTCCTAAATTTTCCTATTGCAGGCATGAGCCAGACCACTCCTGGCTTTTATAGCTATTTTTACTGTACGAAGTATAATTTTTCCTTTCATAACTAAAATGATGTAGTGTTTTGTTATTGCTTATTCCTATTGCTTTGAATGTTTGTATCCTTTATTTGTGTGGCAGATATGTATTTCATCTGTTTTGGATGTAATTGTCCAGTCATTTTCTCCTAGTTTTAGTGCACACTGTTGTAGCAATCTAAGTTGTATTATGTTTTAGCCAAGAAAGATAATACTGTATGAAAATCTGACTGACTGAAAATTTTCTTTATTTAAATTTCAGACTAACTGGATCTTCTGGGTTTGTAACAGATGGACCTGGGAATTACAAATATAAAACAAAGTGCACATGGCTCATTGAAGGAAAGTAAGTAATGACGGCTGACTTTATTTTAGTGCATTCTAAGAGCCTAGTGTAGCATACAGTGTTAAGTGTGTGTTACTGTTGTTAGTGGGCGCAGGCCTCCCTGTGTAACTCAGGCTCCCCTGCAGTTTTGATCTTGTTGCCTCTTTCTTCCAAGTGCTAGAGTTGTTGGTGTTTTGCGCTGCTGCCAAGCAGCTTCTCATTTAGAAAGTGGTTTGCTTTTTAAAATTTACCTTTTTGGGGGCTGGGAAGATGGCTCAGTGGGTAAAGTGCTTTCCAAGCCATCCTGGTGACGTGAGTTTAACCCCTGGATCCCACACTGGAAGGCTGACGATTGGAAGTAGTCCTCTGACCTCTACACGTGTGCACCCACACACAAACACTAAAATAAGACAATTAAAAGGAAATTTTATTTTTTAGGTGTTGGGAATTGAACCTACTACTTTGATAAGCAAGTGCTGTACTGTCAAATGACCCCTTAATTTATGTTTTTTTAAGTTCCAAGTTGATTTAATACTACAAATGAATTATGTATATCAGAAATTTACGTTTTAATTCTAATGTTTTAAAAAATCACTTAAAATACTTTTAGTGGTTTGCTTTATGTAATAATGCTATTGTGTTATTTTTCCTGAGCATTGATTTTTATTATCAGCAAAACAATAAATCATTCATCAAAATAACTACCATGGCTTATTTCCCTGGTCCTCCTGTCCTTCTAGCAGTCTGTCTTATCTTTTTTCTCCTTCCTTGTGCCTGTCATTTAAGGCAGCATTGCCAAAACATTTTAGTCTTGGAACAAAACTTCCAAAATTCCAAATAACTCTTGTCTATTTGTTGTGTTTCTCTGTACTCTTTGCCAGGTTAGATACTAAAACCAAGAAATATTGTTTATTAATTCATTTACAAGCAACAATTATAACCTACCATGTTAGCTGAACAGCTTGCCTTTTTTATTGAACTGTGACCACACTGGAAAGCACTGCCTGGTGTGGTGCTCACTGGGTAGACCAGGCTGGCTTTGTGCTTCAGCAGAACTCCTTCTCTCATTCCTGAGCACTAGTGTTATAGGCTTGTGCCACCGCAGCCCGAGAGCTGTATGCAGTCTAGGCAAGCGCTCTATCAACTGAACTACGTCTCTGGTCATAAGTACAATTTTTACTGAGGAAAAAATTCCTTATATTTAAAGAAATTTTAAGAATGGCATTGTTTAAGATTTCACAAATCTGGCTACATCATATCTTTTTTATTATTTTGTTATTTTTTAAAATATGTAATACATAAGCAAACTTAAATATGAATAGGACAGTTCTAGATGAGAAGGAAAAGTTAAATATTTGAGAGAAAAATTGGTAGTTTTATCTATTTTGGAAAGTTTCAGGGATTTTTGTCCAGATGCTGAGCATAGTAAAATATGAAGGTGGGGCTGGAAGATTTGAGGTGATCATGGAAGTTAGCAATTGTGGAGAGTATGGAAACATGGAATGGAGGGAGAATGTTACTGATACATTTGTTAATGTTATGATGATTATTACAAATTACTTAATTATTTTTCTAGGCCAAATAGAATAATGAGACTTCGTTTCAATCATTTTGCTACAGAATGTAGCTGGGACCATTTATATGTTTATGACGGAGACTCAATTTACGCACCTCTCATTGCTGCCTTTAGGTAAGCTCAGCTATCACCTGCACTCTGAATTTGTGTGTCTCCAGCATGGAGTCCATTCTGCATTTACTCGTATTATTCCATAACCTTTATCTCATGGAGTAAGTATTAGTTCTGATCCTGGTATGCTGCTCCTCACTTGGGTGGGTCATTTTCTGTGTGTGCTTCTATGTAGCCAAGGTTAGCATTGAACTTCCAGTCCTCCTGCCTCCACCTTCCAAATGCAAGGCTTGCACCACTGTACCTGACTCATTTCAGGGTCTTGAACTGTAAAGTCTTGGTAATATTATTCCATTTACCTACTGTTTGTAGTGGTAGTGAAGTTTACATTAAAAAATTTTAGATTATTGGATAATATTTCTATGACAAGTTTAAATCAGAAATCATGTCTATCTTGCGCTTGTACATACATCATTGCATAGGCCTTTAGAAATAACTTGTTGAATATGTGTACAGTTCTCTCTGTGCATATGTATATGTATTTGTGTATATTTGTTATTAGGGATGGGAGAAGCTTTTTTGGATACTATACATGAATTGAGCAGTGGTTACCTCTTGAGAGTGAGGAACTTGTTAGTTTTGTTCTGTGAATCTTTCCCTGATACATCTATATTATTAGGTAAATAATGTAATTTTGTCAGTTATATATAAGTTGTACTGAATTTCTGCTATTTTAGTTTTTAAAAAAATCTTTGTATGTGTGTCCACAATGCATATGTGTGTACAGTGGTGTAAATGTAAGGTTGGAGCACAGCCTCACTTTAATCATTACTTTCCATCCTGTTTGAGACAGATTCTCTTTGTTGTTTGCTGAGTCCTATTCCCCGGAGCCGCAGTTAAGGAGAGTCTCAGCTGCCTGACATGGGTACTGGGAATCAACTCTGGGCCTCTGAAGAGTAGCAAGTGCTCTTAACTGATGAAATCGCTCTACAGCCCCATTTCTAGATTTTTTTTCTTCAAACATTTTAGTTCCTGTTTTGTTTTGTTTTCTTCTATGGTCCTGGATGGCTTGGAACTCACTATGTAGACCAGGTTGGTCTTGAACTGACAGAGACCACCCGTCTCTGCCTTCCAAGTACTGGAATTAAAGGCACTCATCACCATACCTGGCAACTTAAATTTTCTGAAAGTTTATTACTGCATGTGTGTTGGCGGGGACACGTGTACACATGTGGAGATCAGAGGACAACTCTGTGGAGTCTGTTTTCTCATGCTACCCTTATACGTGTTCCAAGGATTGAACTTGCGTCACTTGGCTCCCACGTAAATGCTCTCACCTGCTGCGCCATCTCCCTGGCCTTTGTTTCTTCACTTTAAAAAGAAATCAATTCAACAAATATTTTTCTATTCTTCCCATGGTGGTAGTCTACTTGAATGTCACATGGTGAGGGAGGGCCTCAGTAGTACATGAGGAGGTGAAGGCCAGATCAGGAAATGAGTTCTCCACCCTTTTTGCTGCTGTAGCTCTCCAGTAATTATTTGAACTGAGAACTTAAAGGTTTCACTTAACAGAGGCAAAGAGCAGGCTGTGCTAAGCATTTAAAATGGTTTTGGCCATGTGTTAAGCATCTGTCTGTCTGTCTGTCTGTCTAACATTTGAAATATACCTTGCATTATGGCAAGAGGCACCTCAAACTATAACAGAAGCACAAAACTAAGTATGATATTATAATGATACTACTTTATAGGAATTTATCTATATATGCATTTGTTAATCAGAATTCATGGAGCTCCTTTTATGTGACTGGACTTTGAATCAACTATCCATAGCCAATACAAGAATATGAGCCAAGCCGGGCGCAGTGGCACACACCTGTAATCCCAAAACTCAGGGAAGCGGAAGCAGGCGGATCTCTGTGAGATTGAGGCCAGTCTGGTCTACATGAGTTCCAGGCCAGGCAGAGCTATATAGTGAGACCCTGTATCAAAACCTTAATTTATGGCATACTTGAATGTTAATTTCATAAAATTATAGTGAAATAATACACTAAAAACCTCACCTGAAAATCTTTAAGCACTGATAATGCCAAATACTTTGTGTATCTATCACTAAAGTGATAATGCCCATCACTTAAACATTTTGTGGTGTGGGTTTGGAGATACTTCAGCTCTTAAGAGCCTTTGTTGGTCTTGTAGAGGACCCTGGTTCAATTCCTAGTACCCACATGGTAGTTCATAACCATCCATCACTCAAGGGGCTCTGATGCCTTCTTCTGACCTTCACAGGCACCAGGTGCACACATGGGGCAGACATACATGTAAGCAAAACACTTAATGCACATAAAATAAAAAATAAACACATCTTTAAAAATATATTGTGGTTCTGAGAGTCCAGCCTGAAGCCTTGTGCATGCTGGGCAGGCATTTTACTACCAAGTGACATCATCAGCTGACAACTGCTATGTTTAAAAAACTGAACACCCCCTAACATACGCGCGCGCGCGCGCGCGCACACACACACACACACACACACATACACACACACACACACACATCTTAGTTTATAGTGGTTTTCTCAGGACTTCCATTGTACCAGTAATATGCTGGATAGAAGAATCAACACATCCAGAAGAAAGGCAGCCTAGCAACAGATAGTTCATCTAAGGTACATGATAATAAATAAAAGAGGATTCAGAAGGTAATTTATCTTTACTGTGGGTCCTGTCTGAGTTGTTGTGAGAACTTGATAGATCATTCAAGTGCTCTAAACTTCAAAACTGTGTGGTGGCTCATACTTTTAACTGTAGCAGCATGGGAGGCTGAGGCAGGAGGATTTCTGGGAGTTCAAGGACAGATTGGGTTTAACAGTCTAAAACATAAGATGAAGATACTGTGTTAGTTTAATCTGTGTTAGATCTGGTTTTGCTGTAAGCTATAAAGTTTAATTTGCTTCTAAACTATTTAATCACATTTGTCCTTTTGGGTTTTTTGTTTGTTTTCTGAAACAGGGTTTCTTTGTGTGTAGCCTTGGCTGTCCTAGAACTTGCTTTGTAGGCTAGGCTGACTTTGAACTCCCAGAGATCCACCTGTCTCTGTCTCCCAAGCGCTAGGATTAAAGGTGTGCGCCACCACACCTGGCACTGTGATGGTTAATCTTGTGGAGCTTGGTTGGATTGAGAGGCACCTAGAGTTCAGATGGTACATCTGTAAAGTCATTAGCTAGGCTGGGGAACTATATTAGTTACTATTCTGTTGCTGTGATAAAACTCGATGACCAAGTCAACTTAATATTTGTGCTTATAGTGCCAGAGGAATAAGAGCCCATGATGGTAGAGCAGAGGTAGATGGCAGAAGCAGCAGCTAAGAGCTTAAATCTTGAGCTGCATGTAGGAGGCAGAGGGCATATTGGGGATGGCCGAAGGCTTTTGAAACCTCAAGCCCAGCCCCAGTGATACTCCTTTTCCAACAAGGCCACACTTCCTAACCCTTCCCAAATAGCCAACCGGAGGCCAAGTATTCAAATGCCTGAGACTCATGGAGGACATCTTAGTCAAACCACTCAGGGACCTACCCTTAATATGAGCTGGGTTTTCATAGGCTGGGGCCCAGCGTGAATTAAAGAGGAAATGGAAGAAAACAAATAGATCTGTCTGTGGGCTGCTAACTGCTGTAAGCTGAGGAACTTCCCTGCTATACAATATCTCCCTGTGATGATGGTCTGAAATTTAGAAACCAAAATAATATTTTTCATAAGTTTTGTTGTTTACTTTTTGAGCAAGATCCGTGTAGCCAGGCTGGACTTAAACTCATTGAAGCCAATGATTACCTTGAGTCCACCACCCCTGGCTCTCTGTGCCTGTTGGTCCTTAAGTTGTTTTTATCAGGTGTTCTGTCTGACTAATACAGTAGCAAATTTACACAGCACAGTTGGCGTGCTGTGTACAGGGTGTCCCTCAGATGTTTTCAGGGTTTCCTTGTTAGGCTGGGACAGTTATGCTAAGTTTCAGGTTTATGAGGAAAACACTTAGGTGATTTCTCAAAGTGGTTCCAAGGCTAGATGGGTGGCTCACTTGGCAAAGCATGAAGAGCCATGAGCCCAGTAGCATCTGTCTGTCTCCCCAGCACCTGTGTGGGGAAGAAGGTGGTAGAGGAACAGGTGGATTCCTAAAATCATTGACTGGCCAGCTTAACTGAGTTGATGTACTTCAGCTTTGAGACACCCTGTCTCAAAAAAATAAAAAATAATGGAGCTGGAGTGATGACTCAGTGGTTAAAAGCACTGGCTGCCCTCCCAGAGTACCCAGGATTGAATCCCAGAAAACACGTGGTGGCTCACAACTACCTGTAACTCCAGTCCCAGGGATCCTTGCTTTTTCTGGCCTCTACAGGCAGCAAGCACACACATACATGCAGGCCAAATACCCATACACATAAAATAATTTTTAAAAAATAGTAGGGTGAGCAATGTTAGGAGAAAGACCCCCAGCATCCCCCTCTGGCCCTACACACATGTGCACATGTGCGTGGGTGCCTGCACTAACAAGTATATACAGTGCCCCTGCCCCAAAGTTCCGGTCAGTGAGCTCAGGTTCAGCGGGCCACCCCACCTCAGGAAATGAGCTGGGCCATGTGGTGGCACATGCAGGGAATTCCAGCGCTCATGAGGCAGGGGAAGTGGCTCTCTGAGGTAAGGGCCAGCCTGGTTTGTGTGGTGAGTTCCAGGCCAGCTGCATGGTCTACATAGTGGAACTCTGTCTCCAAAAGAAAAAGGTGGGGAGTGATTGAAGAAGACACCTGCATAACATCTTCTGCCTCTACATGCATGCTCATGTGTGTGTCCCCCACTTAGATCCGGATAACATGCATACACACTTTCCCGTTCCCACACAAAGTAAGTGAACAATCCCATCTTCTTCTCATGTTCATGTCCTGCTTATGTACTCTAGTTACTTTCATGTGTATTCATCTGAGTTCACATAAATGTACAGGTGCACTGGGCCAGTTGTTTTGCTGTGTGCCTCCCTCCTCTACCTATGGTCTTCATGAGCTCCCTGTTAGTCTTGCAGATCTTTAGTGACTCATTTAATCAACTCCTATAAATGAGCAATTAAGTGATTTTTAATCAGTTGCCATCTGAAGAGTGCTGTAGTAGGATTCTTTGTGTGTGTGTGTGTATGTGGAAGTATTTCTTTTACAAAAAGAATTACTAGGTCAGTCATTGAGCATTTAAGATGTGGATCATAGCCCTGAAATACGAATTTACCTGGTGTAACCTTCAGAAAAATGAGGAAACTAGGGATTGAGTGAGTGAAAGGGGGAGAGTAATAAAAGATGTTTATTCATTGAAGAAAGTTGTATGTAAGGAGCAAATTACATGGCCTTTGGTATTGCATAAATGTGATTAGTGGTATGATTGTAGTGAATTAATAATGGCAGAAAAGATAGGAGCAAGTAAACATGAACACTTACTAACCTTGGGAGTACATCGTTTATTGACTCAGCAAGATCAACATCATAATCTTCCTTGCTGTTGGTAAGGTGAGGTGAGGGTGGACGCTTTCCTTCTGTATTGAGATTTCAAGTTATCACACACTCACACATATTTACATGGAACTCACTGCGCAGACCGTGCTGGTCTCAAACTCACAGAGATCTATCTGTGTCTGCTTCCAATTCCATCCTTCTAGCCTCCAATTCCATCCTTCCAGCCTCCAATTCCATCCTTCAAGTTGCATATATCTTCTGGAAAACAAGTTGGTACGGCATTACGGGTAAAATATCTTAAAAATGGTAGTTACTGATTCAGTAATTCTTCATATATCACATGAATTCAATATTTTGAATATTACTACCTACTGGGCTCTTTTTGGGATCCTAGGGAGAGCTTTTGGAGCCTTCAGTGACAGAAATGTGTGATGTGTATTACTTGTAAAGTGGAACATTAAACTGCTACCAATTGAGCAAAGAAAATACATCTGAAAGTTAATAGTATAAGAATTATAGTTTCAGTTCCCTTTTCTATTTTTATTTGTATATAAAACATTTATTTATAAAGTATATTTAAAAATAACATATATACATTACTAAATAAATAAAATATATAAAATGTTTTCTCTTTCAACAGTGCATGTTTGATAATTATTAATTCATAAAGTTTGTTACTTATGTGATTGTAGAGACTTGAGAGTATCATAAAAAGTTCTATAGCAGCAGAAGAAAACAGAGTCATTGATTTTGAATCTTTTTAGAAGCTGGGCATGGTAGCGCATGCCTATACTCCCAGTACTCACTGGATGGAGGCAGGTGGGTCTGTGAGTTTGAGGCCAGCTAGAGTTACATTTAGACTCTGGATTGGAACAGAGCAGTAATATCAAACAAACAGCAACAACGATAACAGAATAAAAGAAGCATAGCAGGCTCAGGGCTGTTCCTCAGCAGATCCAGACCTGGCTGAACTCTGGTTGAAAGCTGTATAGACGAATTCTGTTGAAACTGCTGTAATTTGCTCTGTGTTTACATTTCAGTGGCCTCATTGTTCCTGAAAGAGATGGCAATGAGACGGCCCCAGAGGTCACTGTCACTTCAGGTTATGCACTGCTGCATTTTTTCAGTGATGCTGCTTATAATCTGACTGGATTTAATATCACTTACAAGTAAGATATTTATATTTGATATTTGTGATGTTGATATTATTCAAAAGACTTTCAATAATGCTAAAATATTGGGGGGCTTACAGCGAGTTAAGCACCTTGCTAAATATTAACATGGACTTTGTTATTTAAAGTTCTTTTAAGAATTCAGTAAGAGGTAGGCACTGTTTTTCTCTTCATTTTATAATTGAGGAAACGGGAGCTAAACGGTAAAATAGCTAACAATGTCAGCTCTATTGGTTGGGACCACACTTTCTAGATCTTGTCACTGAGCATCTCCTAGAAGAGAGAGGCATTCTTCCTGCTGATGAAAGAAAATGTCAGGAGTTTTGCTAAGTGAATTCAACAAAGACTAGAAATGTCTCAGTAATAATCATTAGAAGAAATCTGTATTCTTCAGCTATTGTAATAGTTCACTAATGCACTCCTTTAAAAAGTCTGAATTATGTCACTTCAGAGTGTCTCAATACTTAAGTTATCTTAAGTCCTGTTATGAGACACAGTTAAACTCGAACATGAAGTTGACTGCTCTTCTCCATCTGAATTTAGTTGATAAAAGTTGCTGAAGACCCTTAACTACATCACTGGAAAGTAATCTTAAATTGAATCAATTCCCAGAAACTTTACAGAGGAATGTGCAGTGAATATGTTGACAGTTCACTGGGCCCCTTTTCTTCCCGTTTCCCAGCCTTGACTTGGCACGTGTAGAACTCCTTAATAAAGAGCTACCAGAAAGAGTCGGATCCTGGTTCCCAGCCATGAGCCAAGTCTGAGTGATTTTGCACAGATCTCCATTGTTTTATAATTTCTCCAGCTTTCTGAGTTATTTATTCTTTCCTCTTCATATGCGAATCCAGCAGGGTTGACTTGATTTCATTGCTTAAACCTTGGGCTCTAGCTACATAGAGCTCAGTGAGCACACTGGGGCTAATTGGTAAGTCCTGTAGATATACTTGCGAATGAACCGAAGACAGTCAAGACCCACCCAGACTAGGTGGAAGGAAGTTCTGCAGTAGTTGAATTGTTGCTTTGTTGACTTATTTTCTCCTGTCTTTGTAGTTTTGACATGTGTCCGAATAATTGCTCAGGCCGAGGAGAATGTAAGAGCAGTAACAACAGCAGTACTGTTGAGTGTGAATGCTCTGAAAACTGGAAAGGGGAATCGTGCGACATACCTCACTGTACAGACAATTGTGGCTTTCCTCACCGAGGCGTCTGTAATGCAAGTGACATCAGAGGGTGCTCCTGCTCCCCCCACTGGCAGGGTAGGAGCTGCCTTTTCAAAGTCCTTTCATTCACAGAATGAATTCTAGTTTACTGAGCTGTAAGAGAGCTTATTTTAGCAGCTGTATACTTTATGTCAATCTTGCATCAGATGGCATTTAAGCATCACCTCCCTTTATTCAGAGTCTTTAAGTTGTACATGTATGTGGTTGTTAGATAACCTTAGAATTGTTGAAAGTTCTGACAATCCTTTGCAACTCATTCATGAACATTAGGGAACATGGTCTCACCTTAGAGAAGCAGAGAACCAAGCTGAGAGGTGGACAAGAGCCAGTAATAACACTGTTCCCTAAGAAAACTTGATTGTGTTCAGAGAAGATCAGCACCATTTAGATTCTTACTGCTGTCACCACACAAATGGCATATTAATGAAGCTGTAGGGGATTCTTCAAAGTCTTGAGGAAACAGCCATCATTGGTTTAGTGATTTTTCTATGCTTATTTCCTCAGACATTTTTATTTTGAAAGAAAGTGTTCATTTAAATGTTTTAGTTTGTCGAGTTTAGTTGACATTAAGGAGTTAGTAGTTGGCATTTGTGAGTACCTTCCTCTTTCAAGAGGTCATAGAAGAGGCCGAAGTTCTCTCTTGTTCCTCTCATCTGTTCAGCTCCTAGATTTTGATTTTTCATTATATTTTAACCCTAAGGTCTTTCCACTTGAATTAATAACCGCTTGGTCTATCCTTTCTCCTAAGAACTGATTAAGCAAGATTTTTACTACTAAAAAAGTTTAGCTGGAATGTTGCCAAGTCATTAGAAAGTGTGTGCTATTACATTTTATTAGGAAGCAATTGCTTTTGGTCAGTATCTTGAGTTAGGTTCTGAGCAGATAGCTTATTGGTTAAGAGTACTGGCTACTCTTTCAGAGGACCCAGGCTTGATTCTCAGCACCCATACGGCAGGTCACAACATCTGTAACTCCAGTTCTAGGGGATCCAATGCCTTTCTCTAGCCTCAGTGGGTACCAGGCATGGAAGTGGTACATAGTCATACACATAGGCAAAACACCTATATGTGTAGAAAAATTTAAAACTCCACAAATTAAAGATGTTTGATACTTAAGTGCTAAAGGAAACACTATTTAACTCTTCTTTACATTTAGATTAGAACTTTGCATTCTGTAAACTTTTAGGCTGCATTTTGTGAAACTATTTTTTTTTCCCCTATTAGGTCCTGGATGTTCAATTCCTGTGCCAGCTAACCAGTCTTTTTGGACTCGAGAGGAGTATTCTGATTTAAAGCTACCCAGAGCCTCTCATAAAGCTGTGGTCAATGGAAATATAATGTGGATTGTTGGTGGTTATATGTTCAACCATTCAGATTACAGCATGGTTTTAGCGTAAGTGGTTTTATAATTAAAAGTTTTTTTATTATTGTTACTGATTATATATATATATATATATATATATATATATATATATATATATATATATATAT